ATGTCCGGAAAAAGTTTTGGTTTGTCGGAAAAATTTTTCGGTTTGTCGGAAAAGTACTGCCCTTGGCCCCCAAAAAACATGGGTCCCACGGCGCCACTGAGTTTCTGAGATGTAATTCAAGAGATAACTTATCATTGCATTTGAACTACTGTATTACATCAGTTGGTGTTATACTGTGCGATAAGCGAATATTATTGGAAAGAGGGCTTCCATATACGTTGAAATCACCAAATAAACAGCTCATGCACACATTTCTGCACATCGTCGTAAGTTTACAGAGCATATTTTATACTGTGGGACTGATCTTTGTCTTTGATGTGAACATTTATTCTTATAGTTTAAGGTTATGTAAGATTGATCCTGTCGTAAGTGTTCTACCAGCAACCAATCGACAATATTTCATTTTAGCGTTGTCTTTGCCGTTACGTTGGCTTCGCATTACTTTTGAGTTTTGTTTTAAATACCTTGATCGCGTTAAAAGAGTTATTTTTCAGGCCAGTGACATAGCCAAAAGACTTCGCGTTAATGTCCTTGTGATTTTATAGAGATATCTCTAGAACTAAGCCGAGAATTTTAGAAAGCGTTATCTGTACTTTCTCAAAGTTGTAGACAAGATATGTTGTTTACGTCCAACACGCATAAGATTGCATGACTCAAAATGATTCGAGCAAAACCGGTCTTTTGTTAAAAGGAAGACTGGTTAACAGAAATTGGTCCTTTTGAGTGAGATAATCGTGTATCGTCATCGATCCGTGTCGTTGAACAATGAAAAATTTGTTGTGAAATTATTCAAGATCAAATAGCATTTTGTGAGAAAACTGCAGGTCTACGGAGTGGAAACTTTTTGGATATGAACTCAGCGTGCATGAAAGTGTTAGTTCCCGTCAAAATATTTCAGATCTATTAAGACATGCTTAATGAAAGTGAACGATATCGGGTCACAACACACGGACTAAATACTTTGTCTTTGTAAAGGGCTTGTAAACAAATATACGCCATATGTATGCCAAGAACTCCGAGCTTGTACACCGGACTTGCCGGCAATGATCATCGTTCAGCATTGTTCGCATTCAAAACAAATCTCTTCATCGAGAAATATATGCGATATATTTCTGGCGTATCGTTTTTCAGATTGTATTTCAAGTCTTTCAAACTTTTGTATGCCCCGAAGGAAATCTTGATTCTTGATCTGGAAATCTCTCAATTTAAAATTTTTGTGTTATTTTAAACGCATGCTAATTATCAATTAACCAATGAAATAGCTTCATTTGTCATAAATTATTCAAATCAAGCACTGTCCAATCAGAGACCTGTCCCCAAATCTGGGAACTATCCACGTGACTTGAACAAGGATTATGCATCCAACTCACAGACGTTCTCTCGCTCGCTTCGTCGAGAGTAAAGGCCCTGTTATGGCCTGTTTACACTTGATTTTAGATTTTAGATACGATTTTCTTCTCCTGATGTATGTGATCGAGTGGATGAGTTAGGAATGTTTAGTGAGGGTACATATACTCAGAGCATTCATGATTTATTTACTCGTTCACATCCATCAGAAGAAGAAAATCACACTAGAAATCGCAGCAAAAATTGCAAATGTAAACGTGCCTTTACACGGTGCAATTTTTCATGCAACTTGTCTCGCAATGTTTAAAAAAAGATTTTGATAATGCATTGCAAGAGGTGTTACACGCTGCAATGATATTCATGCAACTCGCAACGATATACGAGACGGAGACATGCGAAGAGAATAGGGAGAGGCGCTATTTGGCGCCAAATTTTAATTAAAGTACAGCGTGTACTGGGGAGAGCCAATAGGAACTCTCCAAGCATTAAACATTGCGAGACAAGTTGCACGAAGCCATGTTACACGCTGCAATGCTAAAAATAATTAGTGCAATCGTTGCCAAGAGTAGAACCGACTTCTACTCTCTGCAATGCTTCATGCAACTTGTCTCGCAACGATTTTGACCATTGCAAGGCATGTTAAAGCTGGAGTAATACGAGCAACAAAATTGCTGCAACTTGCAACAGAATCTGATTTCTACGCATGTTAATTGAAAATTTTTACACATAAATTACAAATCACGAGGCAACATTTCTACTTTAACATGCGTTGAAATCAGATTTTGTTGCAAGTTGCAGCAATTTTGTTGCCCGTATTACTCCACCTTAAACGGTGGAATGACTGGTGCAACTTGTCTCGCAACGCCATTGCGAGACAGGTTGCATGAAAAATTGCACCGTGTAACAGGGCCTTAACGGCTGTACACAGGCTACGCGTTATCGCAAGAATTAATTATCCATGCATTTATCAAAGCATTATCACGGTTGTCGCTGCATTATTCGTTTGATACTTCAATTGGACGTCACTTTGTCAGCTTCTTGACATGTATTTTTTGCTTTTATATTTCTTTGGTTAAATATTTCAACTTGAATGAGAAATTTATTTTATTACCTTTAATATTAGACATTCGGATTAGACAATTTCGGATCGGATCGCATTTTAAACATTAGCCAATTGTCGGATTATAAACGTCCAATCCGATCCGATGCACACCTCTAGTTGTTACTGTGGTAGAGAGTAAGCTGGTCTTTTAATAAGACTAGTGTATTACGGAGTACACTGCACTGTAATCGTGACTAACAGAAAAAGTCGAGAATTGAATGAAGGTTTATACACTAATTGATCAAAGTTTCAAACTTGCAATTACCAAAAAAACGCCAGACCGGGGCGCAGCACTACTTTACTGAATGCGGATATCACACCAAGCATTAACATTACCCACAAAAATTTTCAATGTGGGACAAGAAAACATGTGACTAATAAGTATTAAACAGAAAAATGGTATCAAATATAATTTATTTCATACTGTACATAAGTTTGACCACACAATTCTCCCCATATTTAATTGCTGCCCAAATGAAACAAGCTCGTTTAGTATTTACTGTACATGGTTTGAATTGAATTTTTTAAATTTTAGCCACATTCTAGAAGTCCCCCCCCCCCCAGGGCCAGTGAAGTAAGCGATATAAATAGAGTTTGTATTCGCAAGCTAGCCACATTCATGCAAGTTACATCTTAATACATGTACTGTATACGAATTACGAAGATTCGCAGTAATTAAATGACAGCATTTTGTAATTGTATAGTTATGTAATACAGTTGATTGGTGTCTGTCTGATGTTCAGTCTACGGAGCCAGCATTTCATGTTTTATCCTGTATAAGCAAGATTTATGAATAAGTGTCATTCCCCATTTATTAGATTCTTCACCCGGTCTGAGTCATGGCGGATCTATTTTATGGTAGAGTTGAAACTGATGCTGTTGTCGTTGGAGCTGGTGGAGCAAATAGTCAGTTGTGCAGTAATTGTGGGAAAGAAGTACAGAATTCACGTCTAGTAGATGAGTTTCAAGCAAGTGACTCCAAGTTATGTTCTAATTGCGAAAAACGTCATGGCCATGCTCATGTTGCTCATCTGTCGCACTATTTGTTTTTGGAGAATCTAATACACGTAACGTGGACCTGCAACGGTTGCAACAAATCATGTACAGAGTTACAAGATACCCTATGTTACTTCTGCGATATTTGTAAATTTTACCTTTGTCGAAGTTGTTTTCAACCAAAAAAATATTTGCTTCATGAACATAGTTTAACCAAAACTGACGTAAGATGCATTTATACTGCAAGTCAAGGTGGCTGGAAGTGCGATTGTTGTGGCAGAAATAATGGTCGTGAGCACTAGTAAGTCATGTGCAATTACTTTTACTTTAACTTTATTTATTTTTTATTTAAAATAATTCACTCGAAAAGGCAAGTGAAACAACAAAAGGACACGAAGTCCCATACATGTAGTACACCTAATTTACAAGATAATAAAAATATTAGTCTATATATACATACTGTACGTTACAGGTACAAGCTAACATTACATTTAAAGACATTTATACCAAGTTTGATCTTGGTAACGTAAAACGCTGTAAGTTTCTTTTTCAAACTAGAAATTTGCTCACTATGTACAGTATACTCTCAATAGCTCCAGGCAGAGCATTGATCCAAGATCTCTCTTATTCAAGTAACCTTATGTTCACACCATCAACGCAAGTTACTGTATATGAACAGTTCAACACTTCAACTTGTGCTTTTTTCGACTTGCACAAGTATTGTGACATTTACTGTAGATTGCTGGAAATAGATTTCATTTTGCATTGACTAATTGACTATAGCTGCATGGGTAAGGCATGATCTACACTGTAAATCACCATGTACAGTAGGACTACGCTATCACTGATTTTAGTAACTTTTCTATAGCGCTTTGAATCATCAGCGAAAGTCACTACTTTAGAGTTATTTATAATACTGTATCTAGCCTATGCCTATGGTTTACACTGTGTACTGTAGGTTATAAATAATGTCGGTCCGAGAATTTCGCTTTGAGATACAAGGTTACTCAACCCATTGTTAATACACAATAACCTTGTGCTTTCTTACAACTGACGAATTTTCAAACCACTTCAGCAATACACTGCGGACACCGAAATGTAGCCAATAAACGCTGATGACATTCAGAATCAAACGCTTTCGAGAAATCCAAATACTATAAAATCAGATCAGTTATCTAGTGTTGCACCAATTTCATGAAACACTTCCTATTTTGAAAACCATGCTGCGATTTCTAATGAGGAAAATTGGAACGTTAATTTGAAACCTCGTTTCTTTTTTCTAAATGGGGGAGTTGTTTGCCTTTGTGAAGCCGTTAGACGAAACCGTTTTGGAAAGAACAGTTTGAAAAAGCTGTGAGTTTACAAAAGCAAGTGTTAATGAGATTGGAGAATCCTTGAGAACCCTCGTGGGAATGTTTTTAGGTCCAGGTGTTTTGTTAAATGAACGTAAGAAATTCTCTCAAGACTATCTGTTGTCACGTCACTAAAATCCAGAAGCCAAACTGCAAAACCACAAGCCAAACTGCAACTACTGTGCATGTACATGTACATTTCCAGGTCTATAGAATCAAACATTTATGCACATAAAGCTTAAAAATGAAAGATCTGCTGTATAACTATTAGGCCGTTGTAGTTTATTAGATCCAATTGCAAATATTAACACACATTATAACACACAGAATATTAGAGCAAACAATTGAATATTGTTCTGGAGCGGTAAATTATATATTTACTGAAGCTTAATTATATATCTTAAAATGTGTCCATGCAACTTATTGAACTGTTCCAATATTCCACTCAAACGTATCCAATTTATTTAGCTTACCAAGACATTGTAAGATATGCCAGTTTGATCTCTGCGAAAAGTGTTGTCAGCCCCAGCGCAGTACTTTACATCTGCATATCCTATACAAAGCAAATACGGAATTGATTTATCAGAGATTCTCCGGTGGATGGCGTTGTGATAGCTGTGCAAGTCGTTTTCATCCTAACACAAATAAGTTTCCGTACCATTGTGACATATGTGAATTTGACTTGTGTGATAATTGTATGAGGATCACTGATTCCAAAGGTATGAAACCTCCCTTGCATCCACATGCAGAATACATACATAATTATATTGTTTTACCTCAAAAGGTTGCCATAACAGCCTGTTTCATCCAAGAGGAATCATCAGGTGGCTGACAAATTTCGAAAAGTGGGCTGCTTAAATGTTTACGGTTAGAAACGTGGGCGTCAAACAATACATGCATTCCTTCCAATGTTATCATTGTTTACTTCCATTGCTATCATTTTTTATGATTACATGTCAAAACTATTTCCGATTTTTTTTAAGTTGAAATTGTTTCAACTTAAAGAGTTTTTCCTCTAAACACAAATCTAAACACGTTTTAGTATTGATCGAAATCTTGTTTGTTTTCTTTTAATTTCCAAATACATTTCGAAAGTTCTGTGTCATTTGAGTATTTTTGGCGATTGAAAGACCTATTGTGTTTTAAAGAGCGATACCGAAACCACAATAGGTCTTTCAATCAGAAAAACACAGAACTTTCGAAATACAGTTGGAAATATTTCCGACTGTAAACAATTAAGCATCCCACTTTTCGACATTTGTCAGCCACGTGATGAAACAGGCTGTTGTAGCAACCTTCTGAGTTATACGTAAAACAATTATCTGCTCTATCTATATGATATCGAGCACTCTTTGGCATTTTCGTGAATATATATATTTATATATATATATATATATATATATATATATACACAGCTAATTCAAAAAAGGTTGTCCTTTGCAAACCTTAAACCTTAAACTCTAAGCGCGCAAAGCATAATGGGAGCACTGATTTCAAGCTTAGTAGTTGAATATTGCAGCTGTTTGTGAGTGAAATGTTTTCGCAGGGAGATATTTACCATGTCCCTAAGAAATGGGCTTCATATATGCTTTCTAAGCTGCTTAAATCGTACTCCCATAATGCTTTGCGCGCTTAGAGTTTAAGGTTTAAGGTTTTAGAGTTTAAGGTTTTCAAAGGACAACCTTTATTGAATTAGCTGTATATATCTATATATATATATATATATATATATATATATATCTATATATATATATATATATATATATATATATATATATATATATATATATATATATATATATATATATGTATATATATATATATATATATATATATATATATCACTGACATCACACAGTCCTAGCGATTGTCAAGGTATCTTATCTAATTAAGTTGGCAATAACAAGATAAAGGGCCCGAAGCTGACATCTCCATGAAGTACTTTCTGTTAGCGTGTATTCACGTCGTTTTCCAAATTTGCTCGAGTGCACACGAAAACATAGGTTGAAATCGAGGCGGACAACGTTATCCCTGGTAAATAAGTAGTTTTATTATATGGCAAGCATTTGTTTTGATGAATCGCGCAATTTGATTGGCTGCTGCCGAGGCAGGATTTTCCCGTATTGCCCACGGGCAATACGCAATTTTTATTGCCCTGCGACGAGAGCCGAGTTTCAAAAGGGAAAAAGTGTCTAGAAGTCTTTCAAAACTATTCAAAACGAAGAAAAATAAACCTAAACTAAAGAAAAGGAGCACCTTCTTTGGTTAAAGAACTTTCTCAATATGTTTTTGTTAGCAAAAGTCGAAATTACAAGGTAAATTTTACAATGTTTATAACTATTGAAGCAGTCAGGAATAGCTGTGTTTTGACTTTGTGAAGAGCTGCAAATTTTATTTGCAGATAGCCGAGGAATTTGACACCATCCTAAATAAAAAATACAACTAAAGCAGCCACAGATTTATATTTTTTCCCTGAAAATTTCTGTTTTTGTTCGATAAAAAGAGACATATTTATGAGATGAAGCGAACTAAAAACGTACTTGTCCATACTGTTTATTAATTTTATTGTTTTCATATTTGTTGTCTTTGTCTTTGATTAAATGACGAAATACCTCGTATTTTTCTTGAAATACTATCCAAACTGTGTTAGTATTCTACATAAAAAGTGCTGTAGAGTAGTTTTACTAACCAAGAGAACATTTTTTACAATTGTTCTTTTTTGCAAATGTTTCGGACTTTGTACTTTGCCCTCGGCGGCCTCGCGTGACCTTTTTTCCCATTTTTTACAAACGTACAATGCCATATAATAAAAAACTTACTGACCTCAACCGTTCGGGCAGTGCGGGAAAATATCCAACCTCGGTCTTGCTGTATTGACCTCGCTATCGCTCGGTCAATACAGCAAGACCGAGGTTGGATATTTTCCCGTACTACCCCCACTCTCGATCAGTAAGTTATTATTCATTGCCAGCCAGAAAATTCGGGAAGTGTCTATGTTAGACATGCATTGACATTCATTTTTTTGCTTTTTGATTTTGATTAAAAAGGAATAATCTAAAAATACTTTAAGAAGTGTGATCCAATGCGCGTAGTTTAACAGTTCATTGAGGATTTGAGGTGTAACATCTATATATCATGTTCATTTCTCACCTTCATCAACAGAACCATCAGATGACAACTCGTTCACCTACAGCAACGAAAAAGTGAGATTAATTTATGTTACTATTTAAAAACTATTTAAATTTCTCAGTGTATATATAAGGTCGAGGTACAGCAATTGTTATCAGTCGAGAACACTCACTAAGACCTTGATAATTCCGGATATCACAAAAACTGAATAGACCTTTCCGGTAATTACGTCACAACAACACTGCTTTCAACTTAGGACCACCTTAAATGGAATAGATTTCAAGTTTGTTTCTCACGGGCTATGGTCAGAGAAGCAGAACATCCTTCGTCAACACATGCATAAAAAATCATTTTGGATTTTGATTATTAAATGTGGAAATAAGCTTAAACACGAAAACGAGGCTGAGGGGCCAAGAAGAGGGCTTGGCCCCCCAGTCTCGTTTTCGCGTTTAAGCTTATTTCCACATTTATTGGTCAAAATCCAAAATTCTTTTTTATGCATGTGTTGACGAAGGATGTTCTGCTTCTCTGACCATAGCCCGTGATAAACAAAGTTGAAATCTATTCCATTTAAGGTGGTCCTAAGTTGAAAACAGTGTAGTTGTGACGTAATTACCGGAAAGGTCTATTCAATAACTGTTTCACCAAAAATTGCATTTTCATTAAACACCCTCGACAAACAATGATTCGTGTCACAAAACAACGCTTACAGTAGTTGTTTTGAAAACGAATTAAAATTATCACAATAACAGCACAAAATATTAAGAAACTCATTTACGTGCTAAAATTCCGATAAAAACGTTAAAATTTTTATTCGTCTGCGTACATGTATGCATGTATGCATGTACAAAGCATCCAATTGCTATGAAATCCGGTACCGCTGGCTCAACCTACAGTCAACAGTGTTGTCTGCTAGCAGATAACAACCTCCCCTCCCGCTGGCGAAGGTAAGACCCTGGGTACGAGGTTGATACCGCTGGCGAAGGTAAGACCCTGGGAACGAAGTTGATAACACTGTTGACTGTAGGTTGCGTAATTTCCATATTTAGCTGTAAGCTATTGGCCAAACAGAACACATGTAATTATTACAATGTATAATAATAGAGCTGTACATGCATGGGTTGTTATAATTTAAACCCAAGCTTTTGAAAAAAGCTATTTTTGCCAAAAATGATCTGCCTGAGTGGACGATTTAATCTGCTTGCAAAAGTGGTACACTGTATATCGAATGTTTTGCCACGATCAATTCTTGAGGGAAAAACAATGATGATATCAGATACATGCACACTAAATGGTTCACTCTTGCTTGCTTGCTTTGTCGTGCAAATCAGCCAGGCAATTCACATTATATTCATTACTTGTATTACTTACACAAGGTGCTTTGGATAGATAGGCTCCTGACGTGGCATTAGCAAGAAACTTCATGAGGTCAGTGTTAGGAATGTAACCAAAACTACACAGCACGTGAAAATAGAAATAAATAATATGAGAGAAAGCAAGGAAATAGTATAGTACTACAGTATCTTTGATAACGACTTAAGAAAATGAAGACGACAAGGTTGAGGGAGATGCCGTATGAGCAACAATGGCAAACTACAACAATGTCCCGAAAGGCAAAATGAGCAATGCAAAAGCGACAAGCAGGAACTCGTGCAAAAAGTCGTGCGAAATGACATTTTATAAGGAACAAAGTCGCTGGCCAACAACAAGACTCTTGTTCACGACATAGTTGATAGTTGAGTGAAATTTTCAAACAGTTAGCGTTATAAAAAGTTTTACTTATAACAAAGCAGGAAAACGTTGTCAGTGGACGGTTCGCTGTAAGAGTGGAGTTAAAACTACAATTGTCTCGAACATTTTTATGTATATTATTAATATGTAATAGGATGTTTCTCGTGAAACTTAGACACAACAAGTTCACTTTGAGTTCGAGTTCACGAATAAAAAAAAGTGGAAAATATAATGTCTTATGTTATTAATAAAAAATATTTTAAGCATAGATATAGATCTGGTGAAATGTAAGTGAACAAATATACATGATGGCAAAAAAAGCTTCTCACCCAGAACAACTGCATGTTTCTGCCCTAATAATATACATGAAATTTCTCAATTCTGATTGGCTATAAGAACAGTGCAATTTTTTTGAAATACAGTGCAAAAAAATGAATACAGTGCAAAAAAAAGAAATACATTTCTTCATTTTTTATTTTTCAAATTTCTTAATTTCTTAATTTCTAAATGTGACTGACCCACGTGACTGCATAATTTTTTCATGTATATTATTAATAAGTACTAACAGTATGGTTTCTCCTGCAATTTGAAAAACAAACATACACTCGTGAGCTTTTCAAAATCTTCATATAGCACTCGTCGTTCGGACTCGTACAATTTTGAAAGTAGTTGAAAAACTCATTCGTGCATGTTTTTTTCCAAATTGCACTCGAAACCATACTATTATTACCTATAGTTACAAATTATTTAACAAAATGCATACAAAGCTTGTTACAGGTATTTAAACTTACATGACATGATGTAAGGCCTACTCAGGGATATTAAACCGCCCTATATCGCGCGCCCAAACTTGCATTGC